TGAAGTCACTGTTTGGGGAAAAAAAAAAAAAAAAAAAGGAAATTTTCAGAATCCGTATGATTTGTGCGATATGGCCATGTGCGTAAGATTCACCACAAAATCCATATGAACTATGGCTAAACCATATGAGTTGACAGGTATGCTTATTTTTTTTATTTTTTTATTTTTTTTTTCTCGAGTCACTACGCATCATCAGATGATTCCAGTCCATTGTTGGATGCATGTATGTATGATGCTAGCCAAAATAGTAAAAATACTTGAAAAAAATGATGAGCAAATAAAAATCAGGAACAAAAACAGTGTAGACGGGAATAGAATGGAATAGATACAGAAATAATAGTACAACGCAATTGAGCTACTTTTGTGCATTTCTCCAAGAGTCATGTTTTGTAAACAATCCATGCATTCATCAAATTTCTGCTGCCTTCCCTGTTCTGGGTCACAGGTGAGCTGGAGCCCAGAAAAGCAACGATAAGTATCGTAAAATGAATGGAAATGGAATGACATGAATACCTTCTCTGCCCTTGATATGGCTCACTGACTTTCATATAAAAATTTATTAATATAAAATATTGGAAGACCAGTCAGACACCTCTAATGTCTTCGGATTAAAATGAGCTGTTCCTGTTAAGATATGGCTTTGATGCTTTGATCAAATTTGCCACACAATCTAAAATATTGCAATGATGACATTTCAAGACAGTTTGCTTTCTGATGAGAGATGGGATTAGCTAGTGTTAATAAATAATCCTGATAAACAGGCGTAACAGGTCCTGATTTTGAACCTTGAATATTGACCGCCTATATGGAGTTTGCATGTTCTCTCTGTGCTTGCGTAGATTTACTTGGCCACTTTAAAGATTGAAAGTTACCACGTGCTGAAATGCCATAGCTACAAAGTACCTCCTTAATATTGACTTGTGTTTTACCTCCGTGTTATCACCAGGTTGTCAATCAGGAGACTTAAAAAGCAGATTCATCTTAATTCACTTTAACGTGGCCCAGACTTGTTAATCACATCTCGTAGGAGTCTGGCATTCCCCTCATGAGGAGATCAATATTTTAACAGAGAAATTAAATTAACACACCCGAGGGTTAATCTGACACTCCGAGGGAGTATGGACCATTTCAACTGAATTGTCTTTGCTTGGGCTTTTCCTAAGGCGAGATGACATTTTCAAAAGCGGAAGATGATTTCACAACTCCTTGCTAGTCAAAGGAACTGTGTGTGTGACATTTGGATCGTATGACATTTAGTTACTGATCAAATTGACTGATTTAGAGGTTGCTATTAGAAGTTGTCTGCGAGTGGCTGGAAAACCGGTTCAGAGTTCAGTGTCTCTCAATGTACAGTTTTGGTGCGTGAGACACAGTTAAGTGTAACAAAGCCACACTCAAAGAGGATTTTAAACACAATAGCAAAAGTTGAAGAAGAACAGGGAAATATTCCAAAGCACAAAAAGCGGTCCGCAAATGGCCACCATGCAGAAGCCGCTGCTGTGGTGGGCCCAGAGTGAAGACGGGTTTCCCTCTTTGGCTAAATTGTGTAAACTTTACCAGGTTGTTCCAACAGCAAGCAAGCACACACACAGCCCCTCTGCATGGAAATAATGTTATTAAGCTTCCTAGCTTCCTGATGATGCGATTAATCGAATCAGGTGTGTTGGACGAGGGAGACATCTAAAACAGGCTGGGCAGGGACTGGAATTGGATTCCTGATGATGCGATTAATCGAATCAGGTGTGTTGTTCGAAGGGGGAAGACATCTAAAACAGGCTGGGCAGGGACTGTAATTGGGCACCCCTGCACTAGTTTCTATCAAGTTGAATGGCACAGAGAATGTAAGGAAGCGCAACCTGTGGTTCAGTTTTGCATATATGCAAATTGCTTTTTGGTGCCATTTACAATTAAGTTTGTCAGCATTTCAAATAATAAGCGACTAATTGTAATGATGAAATCACCAATCTCCAGTTACCCTATAACCTAGTGTGTCACGATGCATATCTGACTGTAGGAATAGCATGCTCACCTTTCTCTTAGCTCGCAGTTGTCCGTGATAGTTGTCAGACGAATCTCCAGGTATCTCCCCTCCCCACAGTGTGACTCCCACAATAGAATAGGTGATGCCCATCACCACCAAAGGCAGCACATAGACCAGCACCGTCACTATGATGTGGTACCTTGAGGAAGATTCATAACCAAAAATAATAATGTTAGTATCTACATTTCATAGATGGTTTGCTGTGAATATTTTGTGGAGGGGGGGAAAAAACCCACAAGGCTCTTACATCTGTTTAAAAAAAAAAAAAAACTGACTGGAAATGAATGTCACCATTTTTATGTCCAAGGCTGAAACAGACTGAATAAAAGATTGCTCACATGACAGGGTCGTCTTCCACACGGGGCCACGCCACAAAGCACAAGGTCCTGCGAGGCAGAACTCGAATTCTGGAGAAGTAGCAGAGAGGAAAGGCCAGAACCACGGCCAGACTCCAGATGCAGGCAATGACTCCGGTGGTGGCCTTGGCTGACAAACGAGGCTTTAGTGGGTGGATAATGGCCATGTACCTATGGGGTCAATGGTCAGACGCTTTAGTGACTCTTAGGCTAATGAATACTTAACGTACAAGTCAGTGCATTACTTCAAAAAGTGATCTTTATGTGGGACTCTCGAGCCATGACAAGAACACTTGAGAGGTCACTGAAGTTGTACCTAAGATAGGCTGTGATCAAACCTTCCTCACGAAAACCAGCCCGAACTTCCCTTCATGGTGCTTGCTTTAGCCACAGTCACACAAAGTGTAATGAGTTTGACACATTGGAAATTTGGACATGTCAACAGCATATCGGACTGACCCAAAATTATTTTGTCAAAGTAGGGGAAGTAGGGAACCGTGGGCGTTCTTGGAACGTAATTTATGACGACATGTCTTGTATATGTCGGGGTGTTCCCTCACATTGCTCAAATGTCATAGATTGTAATGTTTCCCCATGGGGAGGTACCAAGTTTACACCAGCCATAGGCGTTATTTGTGTCACTCAAACTGCGTGTGGCTCTTAGTGTTGGTGTTGGTGAATTACATGTTCTTTCTTAATGAGGCTCATTTGCATATAAGGTAAGCAAATTCCCTGCTAAAAGTGGTGGTTTGGTGGTCCAGTGGTTAGCGCGTCGACCTCACAGCACAGAGGTTCAATACCAGCTCCATCCTCCCTGGGTGGGTTTTCTCCGGGTACTCCGGTTTCCTTTCACATTCCAAAAACATGCATGGCAGGCTGATTGAACACTCAAAATTGTCCCTAGGTGTGACTGTGAGCGCGGATGGTCGCTCGTCTCTTTGTGCCCAGCGATTGGCTGGCAACCGGTGTAGGGTGTCCCCCGCCTACTGCCCAAAGACAGCTGGGATATGCTCCAGCACGCCCCGCGACCCTTGTGAGGATTGAGCGGATCGGAAAATAAATGGATGGATGTATATTACCTCATTTAAATACGTGCAAATACCTCCGGCACACCGAGATGCATTCTGCTTGGTATCTCAGTAACTGACGCATTTCACCAACTGCGTGTGCTTTGTGAATGAAACACTATCCGTTTGCTCCATTTTTTACCAGGTGACACCACACGAAAGCACACACACAATCCCTTAGTTCATTCGGCCTTGTGTCTTTACGAATGACCCGCGAGGTTTATATTTGATTTCCAATTCCCAAGGCTGACATTTGTTAATTGAGTCTTCATCACAGGCCACTGACCTGCTTTCACCTCAGTGTCTGGAACACAGATACAATCTATCTATTTACCCGTAATTAAAGAGTCACATCGGTCATTGCATATTCAAGCACTATGAGATACTTCTGTTGCACACCAAGTGTACATTACTGTAGGGTTACAGAGTATTTTTTTAAACCCACAACAAGAAGCAAATGCACTCACACAATCAAGAGGTCAAGAAGTGTTGGAACACAATCATTCCAAAAGACATCCCAGAGGCAGATTAATGACCCCTGTCGTCTTTAAATCTCAACCCGACATTTTGTCATGCCTGAAGTGACAGCGTGCTTTCGGAAACCGTCACATTTGAAAGCTTTTCAAAGAACAGTGACAGTAACGACTCACAAGCGCTTTATCATTGCCCGGTGTTTAACTAGAAGCAGTTACGTTGCTAGGCAAAAGTATCTGCGAGTACACTAAACGTCAAATTGTCCTTCCCTTGAATGGAGAGGGAAGATGGTCATTCCCAAGTTAGCCCTGCTTTACAACATCACAGACTTGAAGAGATAGGTCATGCTGCACTTTTATCTGCTTATGATTTTCAAACATAAAGAATGTTAAGGATATATACAACATTATCAACAGTTGTAATATAAGCCATTTTCACCTCTTTTACTCTTGTTTTTTTTTTCTCAAGACAATAGGATGAAAACGCAAGGCACATATGATGATTATCTCCATACAGAGCAAAAATGTCAGTCCTCACAACCATGAATATGAATGCTTTAATTTAGGGACTGGCCTAATACTTGGGTAATCACTTGAATAATAATTTTGAATTTTATGTCTTATGTTGAATTTAGGCAACACAGAATGCACTTTTTTTATGTCTAGGAGTTACGCAGTGTAAAGAACACCAATATGACATTCATGCTGGGGCACCACTATCGGGGTAGCTAATTCATAATACTTATGAAAAGCTACA